CAAAAAACCACAAAAAAATTAATGCCAAAATAACTACAAGCGTTGGTTACACGTGAAACCGTCGACAGTGTTTGACAAGCTTGACTTTATAGTACAATTGATTCAACAGCTTTTGAGGCTTTTATGCGTACAAAATTATTAATACAAATTAAATTGTATTATTCATCGATGTTAATGTTTGGTTGAATCAAGGAAAAATAAGACCATTCCAAAGGTCAGGCATATGTGCTTACTGGCACATATTCAAAAGTTTAACTTTTCAGCTGGAGAGTCTATCGAACATTAAAGAAAGTTTGATTAAGTTTTTTTTTAATTATTTTCACTCACAGCGATGATAACTTAAGGCGACATCCATACGTATCAAAAAGTTGTAGATGGTAGTACAATGTATTTAGAAACAGAATACTATAAGATATTATTTTGCCATTCCCCAATTTTCAATGAAATATTTGATTGTTAACCAGTTATTTCCGGAATAAGGCACCAAACCACAGGATTCTATGGCTGGTACGATTCTTTCGATATTATTGCCGTTGTCATTGCTATTAATATTGGCAGGTTACTAAGTATCTATTGATAGTTGAAGCTCTAGCATATAAATAAAGGATGATGATTGGATTGCTTTTTAATTATCTGATAAAATACAGTTATCAGCGCCTTTTAATCTTTTAGAAAGGGTGTCGAAATTCCAGTGTTAGGCGAGTATTATTAAGTGAAACATATATGGAATAAGCATTATATTATTAGTACAAATATCTGTAATGGTCACATTATAATATAATACTGGAATCCCAGAATACAATTAAGTTTTAATAAGAAATCTTAACAGTGTTGTAACTTAATTTATGGTCATCATAATATTTAATTTGATTTATAATTGCATAAAATTTCAGCGACTTTGCTGGCTTAGTCATGTCATGCGAATGGAAGAAAGTGCTCCGGCTAGAGAGGTGTTAATTCAATACCCGCAGATGGAAACGCGGTAGAGGACATCCGAATCTTAAGTTGAAGGACCAGATGACCAACAGTAAGCCACTGATCTGGTTGGCTGGCGGAGGATACTTGACGCGGTTAAGGATGATTCACGTTTGTAATGGCCAACAACGAAAGTAAGCATAATTGCTACCAAATGTTTCAATAAAATCTTCTTGTAAAGATATCCCGATATTATGTTGAAGCTGTTTTAAGCTAGTGCACTTAAGCACTTATATTCTTTTTTAACTCGAGGTATTTTCAAAACCGCTCTTTACTCCTTGACTAGATTATAGTTTATCACTTCATCAGACTAAGCAATAATTGACCTGCATATCTCTCCAAGGAGCCTGTAAGCATTTT